TCTCATAACTTGAACCAGGTTTATATTTAATGGTTAAAAATTAAGCAACTTTACCAGAGTACAATGACCAAAAAGATCAAGGTATAGTACCAGTTCTGCAGGCAGAATAGTACAAATATGCAGAAAGCATCTCATGTTTATATGAACTTTAAATCCAATATTCTTTCAAAAACAGTTGTCAAAAAAGATCACACTTTGAACACTGTAAACAAACTCATGAATTTTACTTTGTTCATCAGAAAACTGATACTCATTGTTGTTTTTCTTTGTATATTGTGTGTAAAATTTATGAACCTTGATTTTCTTGCTCAAACAACTCATAACATATATGGAAAGCTTATCAAGAATTACATATATTGCTAACAGTTGAGATTTGTTGATCAAGTTGTGTACTATTCAAATTTAATATTCTCTTTATACAAAATTACTGTAAAAGAATTTAAAAAGGTATCTTACATTTTTTTTTATAATTTACTGCTGAGTATTAAGAAATTTAACATCAAAAAAATTATTAATTAGCTAATTTTGATTTTGTTAACTTATTTTTTTTTTAAGTCTAACATGAAGATCAATGTTATTATATTATTAAAGGTTATAAAATAACAGATTCTACTTAGAAACCTCACTGTGAATCAGTGGTTAGTGATGGACTGCGAGACTAACCTTGCTAACCACCAACACCTATAAACATTATTAGATTCTGGCAATTTTCCAGTTTTCTTGTTATCTAAACTTCTACTAAAGATAACGTAGTGCAACCAATAAGGACGGTCATGATGTATAAGTCAATGACAAAATTGTATATAAATACAAAATCCCAGTTTTAATATATACAAGTTTTGTAATAGTGAAAGTATTAAAATTAACAATTTATGAAAAAGACCACAAACTTCTCTCAAATTTGATTCCCCCAATGATGGGACTCATTTCTCCCCATTTATCCTGGTCTATTTAAAGTCATTTTTCTCTGTAATATCATTCTTATGATTACACATAATACAGTGTATAAATGAAATATTGGTCATTACACTGTAATAAATACCTACAAAATATGACAAGATCACAAAACTATTATAAAAAGCAAAAGATTTTGAACAAGATTCCAGATGTTAGAGACAGACTTATCAGACAAGAGACATTATGGAAGATACAATTGGTTGTAAGGCTTTTTAGTTATACAGTTGTGCTTGAAGATCAAATTTTGGGCAATTATTAACCTTTTGCCCCACCCCCACCCCACAAAAAAAAATTGTGTCAAAAGAGCAGTTTTTCCTTTGACACACCCATTACTGTAAACTCCCTTCATCCCTCTGCAATGTTTGTTTTTAAAAAGCGATGATTAGAATTTTAATAAAACCCAAATATATGAAAATGGATTTATACATTACCTTTATTCTTGAGAATTGACAACAAAAATATTAAACCCTATTTATTAGATTGAATAAAAAAACTTGTTTTCATAGTTATTTATAAAATAGTAAATAAATATTGCATTGTAATTGGTTTACATAATTTGATAATTTTGTAATTTTTTATAAAAGGTAAATAATAAATATCACATTGTACTTGGTTCATATATTTTTATAATCTTGTAAATAAACATTACAGAAAGAGTCAAAAGTGTATGCAGTAATAGTAGGGTCAAATGTATAACTGTCCTTTTGACACAAATATTGCCAAACATTGAAAGAAAAAAAAAATTTACATAATCAGTGAAAGATCTGTTTACAAAGCTAACTTATTTTGCAAAGTCATTAAAGACTGGAACTTTAAAACACATCTACCTGGGGCACATAAAAAGTAGCATTAGCAGACACTAGTTTTCAATTTAAAAAAAAAAAAAAAAATCAAAACATTTGATGATAAATTATAAAAAATGTTACATAGTGAAGAAAATTCCACTGAACAACATAAAAATGAAAATAATAAAAGAATGAAACAAATAAGCTTTAGATTTCAATTACAATTCATAATTGAAACGAACAAAGTAAGACCGAATTAAAGATTATCGATTTCTTTGAAACCAAGTTGAACATAAATTGCCTGAAATATAGTTATATATTATTAAGATGCTCAAGAGTGTCAAAGTAGACAGATTGAAAAGTAGTAATTTAATCATAATGATATATATATATATATATATATATATATATATATATATATATATATATATATATATGATCAATAATTCTTTTCATTATTTTTTTTTTCTAAAATATAATTATCTAACCACACACCTCAAACTGGACAGAGGGATATATTTGCTTATGATATATGCCAGGATTTAATATCAACTACAAGTCTGACCCTTGAGGTCACTCTCATGGAAAAAAAAAAATTTGTCATTAAATTTGCTCCCTCATAGATTACACTTTTTTTTTTTTTAATGTCATGTCCCTTTAAGACAAAGGCAATCAGTATTCTTCATAGATTCCTTTTAGATGTGAATTCTCCTAAGATAGTGATTTCCCTTCCTTTTCTACAGTATGAATTCAAGGCTTTCCTTCTCTAAGACTGATTGTTACCCAAGGCTAGAGAGTCCAGTCTATCCAGCTAGCTATTTAACCCATAGCTGGGAGAAGAAAAGATGGATACATGCTTTTTTCCCCAAAAGCATTTGTGTGAAAATGAATGCAATGAAGTAGGCCAGAATTTGAACTTGGCTCACTAATTCCACTTTGTGTGCTGATAAGAGTTACACTACCCTCAGTGTATTTATGAACAAGAAGAGCTATTTTTTTTTTTTTTACTTATATTTTAGTAAAAGAATAAGGGATAGTACGCTATATTTTAACAAAGGCTGATCTGTCACAATATTAACATTAATTTGTAAATCATTTCATTTTTCTTTGCATTCTTTACGCATGTTATTGTATCAATTTCCTACCTCTGGCTACTGAGACCTTAAAAAAGATATACGTTTACTGAGACTGATAGCAGACCAATAGTAGAAAGCATGAAATTATGCATTTAAATCTCACTGCTTCTTGGTAGGCAAGTTTCTTTAACTAAACAGTACTTTTGACTTCACTTAACTTTATTAGGTAATGACAAAATATTCTACACTTCAAACAAGAGAAAAAAAGAGGAAGCTTGATGCTGCCAGAACCAACAAAAAACGGACGGCAAATAAGCAAAAATTAAATCTGATTTTTTTTTTTTAAGAAAAGTCGAATATTAATTAAAAGATAAAAGAAACTCATTTATGTATTAATTTGAAGGTTACATTTTTGGAGTTTAGAATTTTTGCACTATTTTTAGAGTCTTCTTAGACAATATAATTTTCGTGTACAATTATTACCGATAATAATGGTGGGGGGGGGATTTTCACGTAAGGTAATTTCTGTATTTTCGAGAAAATTCATTTAGAGGAAGATATGTTCGGACCTTTTTGCAGTTATCACGTTTCGGTCGATCCATTCTACGACCTTCTTCAGGTATGCAATCAATCCGTTTATTCAATTAGAAGAAAAAAAAAAGTGACTCCACACGAAGACGGTAGAATGAAACAACCGACAAGTTGTGATGTTTTTTTAACAGAAGTAAAAAATGACTAGTTTCGAACAACTCTTGGTAGTTATTTTGAATTTAAAAAAAAAAAAAAAAAAAAAAGTGTTAAAAAGTTAAAAAATGTTTTTAAAAATATAAATTAATAATTAGTGTTATTTTGCATACTTTTTTGTGGACAGAAATTAAATAGGCTCAAAAGAAAATTAAAAAAAAGTAAAGGGAAGAAAAAAAATTAAAAGAAAAAACGGGGTATTTTAAAATTAAAAAAAGAAAAAAAGATGGTATTATATAAATTTGATTTTTTAATGATGTTTAATGCAAAACTATTTTTAGAAAAGGAAAATAAATTTTAAAAAATAATCAGTGTTTACTAAAAGTCAAGGAAGTAAAAAGGATGCGAGTATAAGAATTTTTATCAAAGATTCAAAGAATTATTCAAATTAACCTTTTTATTTATTTTTACACCTTGTTTTCCTTTTGCAAATTAATCAAATAACACACACATACACATAACAAAATTAAATCTTTATTGAATTCTATTCTCTAAAAATAATCCCGAAAATAAAAAAAATATTCTTTTAGTTTAAAAAATAAATGAAAAAAAAAAAAAAAAATAGGATGGAATCCACGTGTATTAGGAAATATATGGCTTCATTTGTAAAACATTTTTTTTATTTAATGAATTTTAAATCCACAGCACGTGTACAGAATATGTTCGTACAGACAGGCAAATGATTAAAAAGTGCTCTTTTCAATTCACAATATAATTATTTCGCTACAACCTGAGATTTTCATTAGTACTAATTAAGTTTCGTGTAACTAATAAAGTAATAATTAAGAAATTCAGTATTTAAAATTGAAGGTATAAAAAGATACTATTTTAACAAAATATATTTAAATTAGAAAGTCTCTAAAAACATAATATATGATGAAGAAAAAAAATTTTTTTCAATGCAATTAAACTGGAAAGTAAGTACGTATCACCTCTAAAATAAATATATAGATGAAATATTTTCTAAATGGTGATAAATATAATATAAAAAAAAATAAGAATTTAAGAAAAAAAAAAAAAAGTTACTATTGCCGTGTATAAGGATCGAACCAGGAAAGATCTTCAATTGAACAATAATCGACATACACATTTTTCCCCTTTTTTTTTTATAATTCCAGACATTGGATAAGTAAAGGAAAGTATTTCATAGAAAAAGACTTAAAAGCGAAGTTAATATTATATTAAGATGTGTTTATGGGTGTGTGTAAGCACGTCTTTCGTTCGGAGTTAGACTAAAGAGGGAAAGAGAAAAAGAATAAAATAAATAACTAGTATTATTCTCATTCCGCTGTTGGTTAGCCATGTTGGTGAACGCGTTATTTCAAATACACAATAGTAGAACATCTCCCCCCACGTCTAGAAATTACCCCCAAAAAACATTATCCCCGGGTTTCAATATCTGCTTCCCGGTAGATTATTAGGCTAGAAGATTACTTACAACTGGATTAGGTGTAGCCATGATTTCGTGCTGTCTACCTCTCAACAAGTATCATAAACGAACGTATCTCGCATGTGGGCTTCTTCGAAGCCACCGATGTCTGCCGCTTCTCTTGCTTATATAGGCGATAATAAACCCCCACTTCCTAGTTAACCGATGTGCCAAGTCTCGTTCTGGCTACGCGTGATCTGGTAACCACATCCGGTAGGGTTCCCTGTCTTTTGTGTACGAACACTTGAATACTTCTAGAAGACACTATGATAAACATTAAACTATTTTTTTTTAAAATATTAATAAATATTATTTTTATTTTGTTGTAAAATAAATTGTATTGCGATAACAAAATTGAAAAATGATGCAAAGAATTAAAAAAAATACATTTATCTTTGAATCACGTGGCTTTTTTTTTTTTTACGTTCATGTAAATCTTGGAATTGAATATGCTTATACTTCACAATATAAAATACTTTAGAAGCAATTTTTATTCAAATTGCTAAAGATAACAACGTACATAATTTTTTTTTCTTAGTTTTTTAACATTAAGAGACTTTTTATGAATTCTGGTTCATTCTTGAGGAAAAAAAATTACCACACCTCAAATTGAACTTTTTTTTTTTTTTTTTTATTTCCAACTTTAGCGCACCGAACTTTACAAGAGAGAGACGATAAAAATAAAGTTAATGGGAAATTAATAAAAATGAATAAATAAAAAAAAAAGCCTTATGAAAAACCTAATTTTCCGGCATGTTTATGTCTAGGTATTTATTTCTCGAAAGGACAAACCAACATCTTATTTTTTTTTAAATGTTTTTAAATGAGACAAAAAAACTACTACTGATTTCATTTTTAAAGTCTAAAAAGGCGATCGTACAAGAATTTCTTAATTATTAAAATTTGGCATTCTGATTGCTTATTTATATTTATCTATTTACTTTTTTTTTTGGTTTTCGAAAAGAAAAAAAGTTATTTTAAAAGTCGTTTAGAGTTTTAATGTAATGCTAAAAAAATGAAAAAGTAAGTCGTAAGTTGGATATTGTTAAAAATGTGCAACGCATTCAGTTCTTTTTCTTCAATTCCCCGACAAAAAAAAAAAAGATTCAAGGTCTCCACTCTGATGCCTTCATTGTAAATAAATAGTAACTTAGTGAGATGGAAGTACGAGCTTACTTACTTAGACGATATATATTTAGTATTTAAAACGTAGCTGATTTATAACTACTTGTTTGTTTTTTTTAAATTTTTTTACTATTCATAACAAATAATTTGTTTTTGATAAAGTTGCCTTTTTAACGCCACGGGGCACAAGTTGGATAATTCTTTCTTTAACAACAACATCACTTGCAACTGGACTAAAAAAAAAGTTACTTGAGTTAAGGTCATTTGTTAAGTAAACTAAAAAAATACAACTACTTTTTTTTATTCTTTCGTTATTTTCTGCTGATATATTTTTTTAACAACTACTATTACTAAACTAACTCTTTGGTAGTCATTATTAATTTAAAGATATGAATGATGTTAATTGTTACGAATAAAGACTGACCATAGACATCATTATTTTGCCGAGACTTGTTTATCGTAAACAGTTTTGGTTTCGTTTACTAAGAAGACTAAATTGTGGCGATGGGTGATTATTACCGGAAACTTTGGTATTTCTTGTGCACTTAACTCCGAGTGGCATTACGGATGTTTTAGAATTTGTTTGAAAAAGGCTGATTACTACTAGTAGTCAAGTGGTTAGAACTTAGGAAACAATTCATTCAAGACGTTTTTTAAATCTTCAAATTTTACATTTCAATGACTTTTTTTACTAGCAGTATTTTTAGTTGTTTTTCTTAACGTTGAAGAATTAAGAAACAATATTTTTAGTTTTAAACTAGCTTTTTTATTCAGTTCACTTAAGAGGCGCACACTTGGGTGCCAAATAAAAGGGAATCGTAAATGGAGCGGGTAAATAATCCAAAATAAACGGTAGGGGTCAATCTGTGTAGGCTAGGAAATAATTGAAAACAAGTCTTTTTCAAACTATATATCTAAAAGACGTCGAGGAATCGAACACATATCTTTCGTTAAAATACGAAGTTTGAATGTGTAAATAAATTATTTTCCACCACAATACAGTACAGTACTCTTCAAAAAATAAAATTGCCCATCAAGATGTCTGCGAATACAGAGCTAGTCTACTTGTTTGTTTTGTTGTTTTTTGTTTTTTTTAAAAATTTTATTATTAGCCAATTCCTGCTCTGGTCCATGAACACTCATTTATACCGAACTAAATTCACAAGTCCCCCCACCCTACACCTCGCAATGGACAAGCGGTGGTTCGTTGATTTGGTTGCATAATAATTGTGAGTTCAGTACCTGTGCCGGATAACACAAACTCAGACACAGGATGAATAATAACTGGACAATACAAAAAATAAAAAAAGACTAACAAGATGAGATATCCCTCTATACGGACGTCGGAACGAAAATCCATGTATTTGCAATTAAAAAAAAAATGTTTTTTAGTGTTTGAAAAGGTAACAAAAAACCTTACAGTTACAGTGCAACACTAACACTACACAACACAAGTTTACATACAAAAACTTTATTAAAAATGTAAGTAAACTGTATTGTTGGAAGTTTATTACATCATTTAATAATTTAATTGTGCTTATAAGAAATTACTAATGCCGCTTCACTAGAATTATTATTTAAAAAATCATATGGTAAAATCCTATTCATAAACTTAAAAACATGGGAATATACTTTTATGTTCTTTTGATAAAGCTTCATCACAAACAGCATTGTTCAAATCTTTCACATTGTCTTACAGTGAATTCTCACTATATTAAATTATCACTGTCTAAAAAACTTACATGCATACTGTAAGTCTATAGCCTAATGATGAAAAAAAAACTTTATTTTATACAGCAAATATTTATTTTTCAACATAATCTCCTTCCTTTTATGCACTTAATTCACTGATGAAAATTATTAATCACATTGAACATTTCAAATCAATATTCAGCTAATAACTAAATGTCAACCTACATAGATTTATTGATCCAGTCTTGTAAATAAAATACTATTTATATAATAAATTGCTAGCAGTGATATTGGATATTGCCTGGGGAAAATCAACATCAAATATACGGCAGACCAGTGTATGCATAGAGAGATAAACACGTGCGTCTCCTAAAATGCCCACAACAAACATGGCAGACTCGGGATGTGAGTCCACGAAAAGAAATGTAAAGAAACAAGAAGAACCAAGATATATATATATATATACCAATATATATGTACAAACAAATGATAATGTATTAACAATAAAGGGTTACAAGTGACAATGACAAAGATGTGTGTAACAAATGAATGTGAAAACATTTTGGGTGCAAAGTATGTGTAGTGAGTAAAGCATGAAGCATGTTCTCTGTGAGAGGTTACATGTTGGCGGATAAGATCAGAAGAGAGTGATAAAAAATTATTGCAGAGTATTTATAGTCCTGAGTACATTTCCTAGGAGCAGTTTTGAAAATTAGGAGACGGTAACCCAACAATACTCCCCTCCAGAATGGTAGAATTTTTTCTACCCATATATAAAGTTTGTATAGTTGTTTCTGTCCTTGTGAGCTGAAAAGAAAAGGTGTCGGAAGTGTGGCTGAGATGTGCGATTCAACAAAATATACTTATGCTGTCATCAGGGTGCTGTCTTATTTTCTAGTTGAATGAAGCACGCTCTGGAAAATGTGTCAGTAGTGTGAATTGTTCAGCATTTGCTATTAAAATTTGTCTTTTCCCAATGCTCCACGTTGAATTAGTTTTGTCGTCCTGTTGTATTAATTTCTTGTTGTTGGAAGGGTTTCATTTGAGAAAGCCTATGTTTGTTTGCTATGCGTGGATAATGTTGTTGGCATATAAAATTTAATAGAAGCAGTGTTGTGGCAAAGTTAATCTGATGTAGGATTTCTACAAAGTGTTGAATGCATGTTTGAGAACTTTAAGAAAATTTACTATTATTGTCAATTGATATCGTACTTGCAAATTCTTAGTGTTGTTTGTGTGGCATGATCGAAGAGTGAAAAAAAAGGACAGTGAGTCACCTTTTGAGATATGCCACATTTTATCTGATTAGCCCAGAAGAAACAGTGTTGATTAAAGCTGAAAATTAGGAGGAGGTAACCTGACAAATATAACAATGCTAGAAAAATATTCAGCTTAATCCAGCTTAATTCTGAATGTTTTAAAATTTGGGCATTTTTCAGGGTTGCACAATGTTTTATAAGCGAAGCACAAAAAATTCAAGTTCTTTTTTTTGACAGAAGAAAGAGTTAATCCAGATTTAACTTCTGATAATCTCTTTTGATCTTGGAAGTGGGCATCACTTATCCTATCCTTTGTTCTATACATGTTATCCTCACATACCAACTGACCTTTGGCTGTAATACATAAAGTTCTCAAACTAATTTTACCTTCAATGACCTGCCGTGACCACAAAGTTTGAATCTGGCTTTATCCACTTCACCATTTGTGAGGTCAAAAATCATTTTTGTACTTTATAGCAAACTTATAATCTCAGACCATTTGGCTAGAAATGTAATACTGTGCTCTGCATTGACCTCAATCTCAAATAGCCTATGCTGTTCCTTGAAGTTTTGTGTTTATCCATGCAAGATTTGGGTCCCTGCAGTGCTGAATTTATATATGGTTTAGTATGGGCTGAAACTCAGGAGCCCCATGACTAGAGGGCCCCCTAAGGGTCCTCTAGTCTTGAGCCTCTGATAAAACTAAAAGAAAATAAAGATATAAGAACAGAGATTTATTTATTTTTGGATTTAATGGGGCTCCTTTGAACTTATTTGAAGAAATTTAAAATATTTGATGGGGCCCCATAAAAAGTTGGTGGTGTGAATATATATAATGAATGGGCCCCCAAATTCTATTAGCAGAGGGGTCTCTTAAGGACTAAATCCAACCCAGGCCCCTGGGAGGTTCCATCTTGTATAAATGTAACTAACATGAATCCCTCCCCACCACAT